GCTGACAACCGGCACATTTTATGAAGCTTGTCATCTCCAGGCCAACCACTGCACACACAAGTCATCATGTCATCATGAGGTCCTAAAGACAGTTCATTTATCAAGGCCAATGCAGAAAAAGTGTGTAAAATGACATTTTTGAAAACTAGTAATTGCATCATTTAAACAATAAAATAGTTTTCAATTTGGCCAAGTTTTTATACTCTTTTAAACAAATCCTATTCTATCAACATATACAGTACATACATATATTTATATATATATATATATATAGCTGGAAGTGTGGGCCTAGTGATTAGAGCTGTGCACTTGTGTTCTAAGAAGGTTGCAAGTATCCGGTTCGATCCCCACAGCCTCCCCTGTGGGTTGCTGAGTGAGACCCTTAACCCCACACTGCTCCCCACATGCAACACAATGGCAGCCCACTGCTCATCAAGGGGATGGGTTAATGTGGGATAACAAAAGGGATTTACATATACATAAATATATATATACATATAGTCATGAATATACATATACATATATATAGTTAGTTAACTATATATATATATATATATACCTATATATGTAATGTATACATCACGTAGCAGTATATATATATATGTATGTGTGTGTACATTTATGTATATATATATATATATATATATACATATATATATATATATATATATAAATTTATATATATTTATATGTACCTATATATAGGTACCTATATATGTAATATATTCATCATGTACCAGTACATAAGTAAGTTAAGTTACTTGTAAATTGGCAAATCATGCAAAGATACACACTACTGTTTTTGTCATTTTTTTGATGTATGTCTCTACCCCTAAAGGAATAAATTACTACTAGATCTTACATCTAATGAAATAAAGAAAATTGTTTTGGGTTTTTTTTTTTTTTTTATCAAAAATGAGTGATAATTACTTCACTACTGCATTTTATTCACAAGTCACTCATACATTTTGCGTTCAGGTTTCTGATATTTAGATTTTAATTACGGGATAACCAAGCAGCCAGCGCATTTGCCACATGGGGTGGGAGCAGCGTGATGTAGAGTGGATGATTCAAAGTGTCTGCCCCTAAAATTCCACCTCGCTTTACAATTTCTGGACATGCTGCTTCCATATCATCTTACACCGCACAAGGTGACGCCTGCCTCCACAATGTCAGCAGCAGACTGTCAGTGCACAGACTGCTGGGAGTCTGGTGCTGTCCGTGGTGCTGAAGTACAGAAAACAACATTTTTTTAGGCATGTCTTATTTTACTCTACCTGATTATGTCATCGTTGTGCCCCAAATAAAATTTCTGCTTGTGCTCTCGGGTGTTGTACACAACTCCTACACCCGCGACGAAATACACGATCTCCTTGGCGGCGGTGTAGTACAGGTTGTTGCGGCACTGATGTCCCCGGTATCCGTACACCCACTCCAGTCTCAGGTGGCAGTTGGGAGCAGTCCTGTCAGCCATCTCTTCCTCAGTGTGTGTCTCTCTGATGTTGTCGCGTAGGCTCTCTCATACAGGGTCATTCGCCAAAAAGGATTTATTTTTAAGCCCCCTTGTTACATTAGTTCCGCTGGATTTTAACCAGTCCAGCGGGTGTAGAAATTAGGCATTTTTTCAAGCTTTGCAAAAATTAAAAAAGTCTGCTTGGCTACTCGGATTAATGGTCTCTGAGAAACAATTTTCTACGTCGTTTTTGTTTTCCTTTGAGAGGTTCTCCTCGCACTTCTTTTGTCGCGGGCTTTCGCTTCTCATCGACACAGGTCAAAGCTCCTGTCAGTTCCTCCAAAGATGGAGCTGTACTGTATTCCCACAAGCCCCGCCCACAGTGCTGACGGAATAGCGGAGCAACCAATCACAATCTGGATAAAAAGGCCGAAAGATCAGCAAATCGAAAAGGAAAAGTCTTTGCAGATCAAAAAAAGGGAACATTTTAGAAAAATCAAAAAGGGCAACTCTAAAAGGGAAAGACAGCATTATCATAATTGCTGTTGTTGTTTTTTCTTCTCTGCTTTTCCATTGGATGATAACACACCACGTGAAGAGGAGAGGAGACTTCACTTTTGAAGTAATTTAATTTTCAGAAACAAACCAACCAAACCACTCAGATTGCATATATATATATATATATATATATATATATA